CAGCTGTGATTAGATAAAAATATGATGTTCCCCATTGTTGCCTTTTATATTCTGATCATATTGCATTAAAACCAAAATATCAAACATGTTTCGTAGGCCACACAAAATCCACGATTTTCTTACCTGTTGTTTCCGCTCTAATTAACACATAATGTCCCTCCCCACCTTCCATTTTTTGGAATTTCCACACTTAATTACATCTTTGATTATGCAAAACGCCTTTCCCGTCCATTTTCATCCAACTTCTCCGTTAAGTAAACATGTGTAGTCAATTTTATTTATTTATTTTTTCCAAAATGAATTGGTATTATTATCTTAAAATATTTTCTTTTCTTTCCTTCCCCATCTTCTTCCTCAACATCCTCCATCTCCCATCATCTTCTTCCTCAAGGCCCCTTCTCATTTCGATACCAACATTAAATCAGTCACCATAAGCAGAAAAAACAACATTAAAAAGTTGGCGAATAAGCTTTGGGTGCTTAGGGGGAAAAACACTGCACTCAAGAATCCACAAGATGAAGGACTGAAAATGTTCCTAAACTAGGATAAAGCTAACTCTTTTCTATCGCCTCGATTATTGGAATTTCTATTAAGCTTGATGAGCCTACTGCAACATATGCCAGGACAAATCTGTGTGGAAGTGGATATAAATTAACAAAGATTGATAGGATCAGAACTGGAAACGATGACTACGCCATATGCGAAAAATTGTTTATGAAGAGGATCTTATACTTGTTGATCTTGAAATACTAGCTCTTTTTTTTTTAATAGGATTTTGGTTACAAGGGGATGGTACTGGTATCTCCAACCAAGTCTATTCCAGTGACACCGTTGTGATTAAGTTAAGTTCTATTTTGTTTGAGTACAAACAATTGTTCAAGTTTGAAGGTCTTTGATTTATACACTTATAGGGACCATTAAATGAGACCAATTGTTGCTAATTTTGATAACTCATGACTTAATTATGTTTTAATTTTGTTAGTTGGTTGAACTCAGTGCAAATTCGTGGAATTAGAAGAAATGAATGAGAAACAAGTGAAAACGGATGAAATTAAAAGTTTGGGAATCAAAGTGAAAATATTCAATAGTTGATTCGGACCATAAACCGATGATTGAAGATCTTATATAATCAATTGGATATGAAAGTCAAATGAGTAAAAAATTGAAACAAAATCAATTTACAACCGAAAAAGTTGGGTTTCAAATTTCCAGCCTCATTGAGACCCGATTTTAGAATAGAAAACATTCGAATTAGAAAATTACTTTGTTTTTTATAAGAATTGTAGTCTTTCGGTTATGTTTTCAACACACTTTGAATCGCTTCAATTGGATATTGGAAGAGAAAGTTATGATAAAAATTCCGAAAACTATTTATAGATAAAACGGCGCATGTGCGGACCATTGTTTTTCCAACCAATGAGCCATTCCTCAAGCTAGTGCAGCCGCACCAGGGACCACAGCGCAGAGGCACTGGGTAATTCAGGGACCAGCTGTGCAAAATCCGGATTTAGGCAGATTTCTAATTGAATTGAAATTTCTGTACGATTTTTCATGAGTTTTTGGACTTCTATAAATTAGAAAATTGGGGAAAATATTAAAGAACTCTCTCTAGCCTCTAATTACATATTTGT